AAAGAAGTTTGTATCGATTAAAATATTGTAAAAACACTTTTTAAAACATTCTAAGTGTTTTAAATTGATTCTTTCAAACCTGTATCAGTTAATAACTTGTTTAAGAAAATTCTTTGCCAAAATGCTTTTGTTTTTTATTTGTTTAAAACTATTTTTGAGGCATTTTGCAAAATGAATGAAGAAGCTTTATGCAGTGGAAAAGGTAAAGTGGTTTTACCTAAGCTTTCTGTTAAGACACACTAAGTCTTCAGCTCCTTTGTTCTGAGTCACTTGTTTGACAGCTGCAGAGTTGACCCTTGACTTTATTTTTGACTTCATCAAATCAATGAGATCTTTGCTAGGATCACTTTCAAAAGCGTTACTAAAAGTTACTGAAGAGTTACTGAGAGTTACTAAAGAGTTACTAATAATTAGTAAGAGTTACTGAAGATTTACTAAAGAGTTACTAAAGAGTTACTAAAAGTTACTAAGAGTTACTAAAGGTTACTAAGATTTACTAAAGAGTTACTGAAGAGTTACTGAAGAGTTACTAAAAGTTACTAAGATTTACTCAGGAGTTACTAATGAGTTACTAAGAGTTACTGAAGAATTACTGAAGAGTTACTGAAGAGTTACTAAGAGTACTAAAGAGTTACTGAAGAGTTACTTAGAGTTACTAAGAGTTACTGAAGAGTTACTAAGAGTTACTAAAAGTTACTTAAAGCTATTGAAGAGTTACTGAATAGTTCCTAAGAGTTACTAAAGAATTACTAAGAGTTACTATAAAGTTACTAAAGAGTTACTAAGAGTTACTGAAGAGTTACTAAAAGTTACTATAAAGTTAATGAAGAGTTACTAAGAGTCACTTAAAAATTACTGAAGAGTTACTAAGTGTACTGAAGAGTTACTGAACAGTTACTAAAGAGTTACTAAAAGTTATTGAGGAGTTACTAAGAGTTACTGAAGAGTTACTGAAGTGTAACTGAACAGTTACTAAAAGTTACTAAGAGTTACTGAAAAGTTACTAAGAGTTACTCAAGAGTTTCTAAAAGTTATTAAGACTTACTCAAGAGTTACTCAAAAGTTACTAAATAGTTACTAAGAGTTACTGAAGAATTACTAAAGAGTTACTAAGAGTTATTGAAGAGTTACTGAATAGTTCCTAAGAGTTACTAAAGAGTTACTAAAAGTTACTGAACAGTTACTAAAGAATTTCTAAAAGTTAGTAAGAGTTACTAAAGAGTTACTAAAAGTTACTAAGAGTTACTGAAGAGTTACTAAGAGTTACTAAGAGTTACTAAAGAGTTACTAAGAGTTACTGAAGAGTTAGTAAAGAGTTACTAAAAGCTACTCAAGAGTTACTCAAGAGTTCTAAGAGTTACTATAAAGTTCTTAAAATTTTTTGAAGAGTTACTGAAGAGTTACTAAGAATTACTAAAGAGTTACTAAAAAGTTACTAAAAGTTGTTGAACATTCAAGGACTTGATGTTTCACTTGATGAACATGAAGAATGATGATTTTGATGATGATCCAAGAACTTAAAGACTTAGAGTATTGAAGATTGAAGATTGATGATTTTTGTATTGTAATAACTCTGTTTTAATTTGATTGAGTCTGTAATTTTAGAGTCTAAGATAGCCGGTACATAGTCTGCAACTTAGAAGCTTCAAAAAGCTCAAATTTATCATCTAGGCTCGGCTTTAATCGATTAAATAGGTAGATAATCGATTAAAACAGTGAGAAAACCATTTTCTGTACAAACTCACTGCTTTAATCAATTAAACAGCAAAATAATCGATTATTCCGTACTGATAATCGATTATTTCACCTAATAATCGATTAAAACAGAGAGGTATTGGGTTCTGACGTTTTTGGCTCTGTTTTAATCGATTATAACTTCTTTTAATCGATTATTACAGTCTGTTTTTGATTTTGAATTTCAAATTAACCCTATTTTCGAAAACCCAATTACCAAGAACCCTAGTTTCGAAATCCACAATTCCTAAACCCTAATTTCCCTACTTAAACTCTGCTTTGGCACTCAGAAAAACAGAACAACTCTTTCCATACAAAAGTTAAGTGCTGTGAGTGCCAGAGAACTGTTTGTTGCAAGGAAAGGGGGCTTTTGGAACCTGGTGTGGGCTAGAAGCGATAAGAATCACTAAGTGGAGTTCTTAGTGGATTGTGTGATGTGCCGTCTCTAGGAAAAGTTGTTCATCATCTCTTGTGGATTTCAAGAGAGGTGTTTTCTTATCTTTTTCTGTTCATTTGTAATCTGCTTGTAACAACTTGATTTTAGTGACAGCGTTAATCCTCTGTTTGAGTGATTAGCAACTGGACATAGGGTCTTTTGATCCGAACCAGTATAAATCTCCTGTGTAAGATTCTCTACTCTTCTCTATTTACATTTACACAGTTTTTAATCGGTAAAATTTGGGGATAATTTTGAAAACCTAATTTTTATTAAGAAACCAATTCACCCCCCTCTTGGTTTTTGTCCGACCACGCGAACATTCCGCTGCGCGATTCTAACAAGTGGCATCAGAGCTTGCTTTGATAGTCATTCAAATATTTCGAAAATGGCCGGACAAAATCAAACTTTTGCCGAAGGTGCGTCTATCAACAGACCCCCACTTTTTGCGGGTCAAAATTATCCTTTTTGGAAAGTAAGAATGCAAATTTTTCTAGAGTCTGTTGATAGAGGCGTTTGGGACGCAATTTTAAACGGTCCATTTGTTCCTAAAATTACAGAGAACGGTGTTGACGTTCTTAAACCTTTTTCTAGATGGACTGCCGAAGAAAGTAGAAAAGCACAATTTGATGTTAGGGCTAGAAATATAATTTCATCTGCTCTAACCCTTGACGAGTTTTATAGAATTTCAGTTTGTAAAAGTGCACAGGAAATGTGGGAAATGTTAAGGGTGACCCACGAAGGAACTGACGACGTCAAAAGATCACGTAAAAATTCTTTAATCCAAGAATACGAGATGTGCCGGATGCAACCTGGCGAAACAATATTTGACGTTCAAAAGCGTTTCACTCATATCGTGAACCATCTCACCGGACTAGGTAAAATCTTTGACGTTGATGAATTAAATGTTAAAATTTTGAAATATCTGGATAGGAAATGGCAACCTAAGGTGATGGCCATCTCGGAGTCACAAAATCTTGCCACTATGTCTATGCCGGTGTTATTTGGAAAGCTTAGAGAGCATGAGCTTGACCTTGGAAGGCTAAATGAGGAAGAGGGTCAATACCAAAAGAAGAATCTAGCCTTCAAGACCGAGATTTCCAAAGGCAAAAATAAGAAGGAAGAAGAAGAAGACTCGGAAAATGATGAAGAAGAGATGAGTCTTTTCATAAGAAAATTCACCAAGTTCATGAAAGCAAAAGGAAGACATCCTTTCAAAGGTAAGGGAAAGGTAAAAGAAAATACTTCCGTTAATATAAAATGTTATGGTTGTGGTGAAGCAGGGCATGTGAAGACCGAATGCCCAAATAAGAAAAACGATGAAAACAAGGGCAAAAAGCAATTCAAGAAGAAAGCATATATTGCTTGGGACGATAGTGATTCAAATTCAGAATCAAGCGACTCGGAAATAGAAGCAAACATTTGCTTAATGGCAAATGATAACATATCTTCGGATTTTGAGGTTAGTGATTCCGATTCATCTTCTAGTGATGAAAATGACCATGATGAATTGCAAAATTCTTATAATGAATTATTTATTGCCTTTAAGAATATGAAAGATGAATATAAAGTTGTAAAGAAGAATCTGAGAAGATCCGAAAAGGAAAATGAGTCATTAAAAATGAAAATTGCATGTTTAGAAGAAAAGGAGGTAGCTAATACGAAAATTGTATGTTTAGATGAGAATAAGGACTTAGCATGTGCAAACTGTAAAGAGCATGAATATGACATAGATATTCTTAACCATTTGCTAGACAAAGCCGAAAAGGAAATAGATGATCTTAAGAAGCATGAAATGGCGTTTGTACAAAATAATGTAAATCAACAAGTTCCTTTGAAAAAGGGTAAAAGGAAAACTAAAAGAGTATGGGTTGAGAAAGGAACTAAGATGTCAAAAGTTAGAAATGTATCAATATCATCTGATTTGATTTGTTCTCAATAGCCACAAGATCTCATCTTTGGGTGATCCTTTTGTTGACGGATGCTCCTATTATACCCGTAGTCTCTGAAGGATGAGAACCAACTATGTAGCATCTACATCGAGAATTCAAGTATTGTATACATCATTAGTCCGATCCTTTGTAGGAACTACCCATAATAACGAACTTGCAAAATGAATCTGTTTATCATAAAGTGATTTGTTGTTCCTGACTCTGCTTCACCTTAACTGTTATTTGAACAAGTAAAGTTATGTCTTGGTCCGAGTGGGAATAGCATTTCTCTTCTGCATGTCCATGGAGTTTTGAAAAATCCAAACATCTCAGAAATAGAGAAAGAGATAGAAATTTATCGAATGAACCACACTCCTTCGTATATGTCAAGATTCCATTAATGAGAAGGGGCTGGGGAAAGCTTGAACCCAATTCCTACTTGTGATAAAAGCTAACAAATTGTGATTTATATTATTAGTTCTAAACTTTCTTATTGGCGAGCCACAAAAATTGCACCTATTAAAGCAACTAAAAGAATTATTGAAATTAGTTCAAATGGAAGAAAAAAATCTGTTAATAAATGAATTCCAATTTGTTGACTAGTACTTGTCAAATCTTGCTCTATATTCTAATTGGGTCTTGTCGTCCAAATAATCTCGTGCCATGATGTTTCTAGAATAGTAGTTATTTGTGAAACAAAGATACAGGTACAAACCATCAAAGTAATTCCATCCCCCCAAAGATCAAAATTTTGGTAATATTCTGAACCATTCATAAACATCACCGCAAAAATGATTAAAACATTTACAGCGCCCATGTAAATAAGTAGTTGTGATGCAGCCACAAAATGGGAATTTGTTAAATATAGAATAAAGATACACCAACAAGAACAAGACCCAATGAAAAAGCAGAAAAAAACGGATTCGTAAATAAGACTACTCCTAGACTTCATAAAATTAAACCTGATCCAAGAAATACTAAAAGTTATTAAAGAGATACTGAAGAGTTACTAAGAGTTCTCGAAGAGATTCTTGAAGAATTGCTTGAAGAGTTACTTGAAAAGTTACTAAAAGTTACTAAAGAGTTATTAAAGAGTTACTAAAAGCTATTAAAGAGTTACTCAGGAGTTACTAAGCGTTACTAAAGAGTTACTGAAAAGTTACTAAATGTTACTGAAGAGTTACTGAAGAGTTACTAAAAGAACTGAAGAGTTAATAATGTGTTACTAAAAGTTATTGAAGAGTTACTGAAGAGTTACTGAAGGGTTACTAAAGAGTTACTAAGCGGTACTTAAGAGTTACTAAAGAGTTACTAAAGAGTTACTAAGACTTATTGAAAAGTTACTGAAAAGTTACTAAAGAGTTACTAAGAGTTACTGAAGAGTTACTAAAAATTACTAAGAAATACTCAAGAGTTACTAAAGAGTTACTCAAGAGTTAATGAAGAGTTACTAATAGTTACTGAAGAGTTACTAAAGATTTACTAAGAGTTACTAAGAGTTACTAAAAGTTACTAAGAGTTACTAAAGAGTTGCTGAAAAGTTACTAAAAGTTACTGAAGAGTTACTAAGAGTTACTGAAGAGTTACTAAAAGTTACTAAGAGTTACTCAAGAGTTACTAAAGAGTTACTATGAGTTACTGAAGAATTACTGAAGAGTGACTAAAAGTTACTAAAAGTAAATAAGAGTTACTAAAAAGTTACTAAAGAGTTACTGAAGAGCTACTAAAGAGTTATAAAGAGTTACTAAAAGGTTACTCAAGCGTTACTGAAGAGCTGCTAAAGAGTTACTGAAGAGTTACTAAAAGTTAATAAAAGTTACTAAGAGTTCCTAAAGAGTTATTGAAAAGTTACTAAAAGTTATTGAAGAGTTAGTAAGATTTACTGAATAGTTACTGAAGAGTTACTAAAAGTTACAAAAAGTAACTAAGAGTTACTCAAGAGTTACTAAAAGTTACTAAGAGTTAGTCAGGAGATACTAAAGAGTTACTGAAGAGTTACTAAGAGTTACTAAAGAGTTATTAAAAAGTTACCGAAGAGTTACTAAGAGTTATTGAAGAGTTACTATGAGTTACTGAAAAGTTACTAAAAGTTACTTAAGAGTTCCTAAGAGTTACCGAAGAGTTACAAAAATGTTACTAAAGAGTTACTGAAAAGTTACTAAAAGATACTGAAGAATTACTGAAGAGTTACTAAAGAGCTACTAAGAGTTACTGAAGAGTTAATAAGAGTTACTAAGAGTTACTGAAGAGTTACTAAATGTACTGAAGAGTTACTAAAAGTTACTGAAGAGTTACTGAAGAGGTACTAACAGTTACTAAAGATTTACTGAAGAGTTACTAAAAAGTTACTGAATAGTTACTAAAAGTTACTAAGAGTTACTAAAGAGCTACTCAAAAGTTACTAAAAGATACTAAAAAGTTACTAAGAGTTACTGAAAAGTTACTGAAGAGTTACTAAAAGTTACTAAGATTACTGAAGAGTTACTAAAAGTTAATAAGAGTTACTCTAGAGTTAATAAGAGTTACTGAAGAGTTACTATAAGTTACTAAAGAGTTACTAAAGAGTTACTAAAGAGTTACTAAGAGTTACTGAAGAGTTACTGAAGAGTTACTAAGAATTATTGAAGAGTTACTGAAAAGTTACTAAAACTTACTAAAGAGTTATTTAGAGTTACTGAAGAGTTACTAAAAGTTACTAAAATTTACTAAGAGTTACTAAAAGGTTACTATATAGTTACAAAAGAGATGCTAAAGAATTACTGAAGAGTTACTAACAGTTACTGAAGATTTACTAAGAGTTACTAAAGAATTATTAAGAGTTACTAAAGAGTTACTAAAGGTTACTAAAAGTTATTAAGAGTTACGAAAGAGTTATTGAAAAGTTACTTAAAGTTACTGAATAGTTACTAAGAGTTCATGAAGAGTTACTAAAAGTTACTAGAGAGTTACTGAAGAGTGACTAAAAGTTAATAAGAGTTCTAAAAAGTTACTAAAGAGTTATTGAAGAGTTGCTAAAGAGTTACTGAAGAGTTACTAAAAGTTACTCGAAGTTACTAAGAGTTACTAAAGAGTTACTGACGAGTTACTAAGAGTTATTCAAGAGTTACGGAAGAGTTACTAAAAGTCACTAAAAGTTACTAAGAGTTACTCAAGAGTTACTAAAAGTTACTGAAGAGTTACTAAAAAATTACTGAAAAGTTACTGAAGAGTTTCTAAAGAGTTACTTAGAGTTACTGAAGAGTTACTGAAGAGTTACTAAGAGTTACTAAAAGGTTACTCAAGAGTTATTGAAGAGCTGCTAAAGAGTTACTAAGAGTTACTGAAGTGTTACTAAGAGTTACTGAAGAGTTACTAAGAGTTACTGAAGAGTTACTGAGAGTTACTGAAGAGTTACTAAGAGTTACTAAAAGGTTACTCAAGAGTTATTTAAGAGCTGCTAAAGAGTTACTAAGAGTTACTGAAGTGTTACTAAGAGTTACTGAAGAGTTACTAAGAGTTACTGAAGAGTTACAAAGAGTTACTGAAGACTTACTAAAAGTTACTAAGAGTTACTCAAAAGTTACTAAAGAGTTACTAAGAGTTACTGAAGAGTTACTAAGAGTTACTGAAGAGTTACTAAAAATTACTGAAGATTTATTGAAGAGTTACTAATAGTTACTGAAGAGTTACTAAAAGCTACTAAAGTATTACTAAAAGTTACTGAAGAGTTACTAAGAGTTACTAAAGAGTTACTGAAGACTTACTAAAATTTACTAAAAGTTACTAAGAGTTACTCAAGAGTTACTAAGAGTTACTAAAGATTTACTGAAGAGTTTCTAAAGAGTTACTAAAAGTGACTAAGAGTTACTGAAAAGTTACTAAAAGTTATTGAAGAATTACTGAAGAGTTACTAAAAATTTACTGAAGAGTTACTAAGAGTTACTGAAGAGTTTCTGAAGAGTTACTATGAGTTACTGAAAATTTACTAAAAGTTACTTAGGAGTTCCTAAGAGTTACTAAAGAGTTACTGAAAAGTTACTAAAATATATTGAATAGTTACTGAAGAGTTACTAAAGAGCTAATAAAAGTTACTGAAGAGTTACTAAGAGTTACTAATAGTTACTGAAGAGTTACTAAATGTACTGAAGAGTTACTAAATGTACTGAAGAGTTACTAAGAGTTACTAAAGTGTTACTAAAAGTTACTGAAGAGTTACTGAAGAGGTATTAAGAGTTACTAAAGTGTTACTAAAAGTTACTGAAGAGTTACTGAAGAGGTACTAAGAGTTACTAAAGATTTACTGAAGAGTTACTAAAGAGTTACTGAATAGTTACTAAAAGTTATTAAGAGTTACGAAAGAGTTACTCAAAAGTTACTAAAAGTTACTGATGAGTTACTAAAAGTGACTGAAAAGTTACTGAAGAGTTACTCAAGAGTTACTAAAAGTTACTAAGAGTTACTCAAGATTTACTAAAGAGTTACTAAGAGTTACTCTAGAGTTAATAAGAGTTACTAAAGAGTTACTATAAGTTACTAAAGAGTTACTAAAGAGTTACTAAAAGTTACTAAGAGTTACTGAAGAGTTACTAAGAGTTATTGAAGAGTTACTGAAAAGTTACTAAAACTTACTGAAGAGTTACTAAGAGTTACTGAAGAGTTACTAAAAATTACTAAAATTTATTAAGAGTTACTAAAAGGTTACTATAGAGTTACAAAAGAGATGTTAAAGAATTACTGAAGAGTTACTAAGAGTTACTGAAAATTTACTAATAGTTACTAAAGAATTATTAAGAGTTACTGAAGAGTTACTAAAGGTTACTAAATGTTATTGTAGACCCCTAATTTTGCCCGGCCTCTCAAAATAAAGGCTAGAAGAACTTCGCCCGAGGATGGAGTTCATCCGGCTTCCCAAAACCGAGAAAAGACCTCCTGCAACAAGACGGAGCTCACCCATTCACACAATAAAGACTAAAAAGACTTCCTACACAAAGATAAAGCTCGCCCGGCATCTTAGTAAAGGCCAAGAAGACTCCCTATGTGAAGATAAAGCTTCAATGGACACACATCGGCATCAATCTACGTCCGAAAACGGCAAGAAAAGCTTCCTGGGGTCCCAAAACGCGAAGACTGGACAAAACAGGCCGAGACCACCGTCCCACAGTTGGGACGGCCGTCCCAACGGCCATTTTACAAGTGGGACGCGCGTCCCAAACTTGGGACGGCCGTCCCAAACCCCAGGGGGTCTCAGCCTTCGTTAAAATGCCATTTGGGACGGCCGTCCCAGTCCAGACGGCCGTCCCAACCCAGATGGCCGTCCCAAAGTGCGCCAGCTGCGAAAAACTATAAATAGGAGGCTCATTTGCCACTTTTTCACACCACAGACACCCCAGAGAGCTCTAAAACACTTTAGAGCACTTGTCTACTTCTCTCCCTCTCTCGAATTATCTTTCCGATTGCCTTAAATAGGTAATAATCGGTTAAGGAATTATATTCCGGCATTTGATTCTTCTTTAAATTTTTAGTGGAGTCGATCTTGTATTGGTGAGGAGAGACTGTGTAGAGAGAGGGGTTGCCAAAACGCATCCTCACAGTTCGAGATTCTCAATATAAAGCTTGCTACGGAGGTTCTTTTCAATTCCCTTCTCTTTTATTGTTTTATTTGTTGTTTTATTGTTTTATTTAGCTTTATTATGTCATGTAGGATAGGATCATGTAGATAGTCATTTTAATATTTCTTTTATTGCTTTATTTAGCTTTATTTATATAAAATTATGTAGATAGTCATTTCAATATTATGCAAGAAAATAGGGTAATCGCGTAATTTCTCGAAATCTTCTCTTTAAATGAATTGATCTGTCATAGGGAACCCGAAAGGGGCGTTGTGGGGTGCTAACACCTTCCCCACACGTAACTAACTCCCTTACCTAACTCTGGTTATAATGGCCAAGTCTGGTTTTTATTAAAATCAATGCCTTTTCATCCTTTTCCAATGTTTATGGTCAAAATATTGGTGGCGACTCCATAAGAACCCCTTTTCGAAAACCTTGCTTTTATTAGAGGATAATTCAATTGTCAAACACCTCGGAAGCAATGAACACATTTTAAAACAAATACGCGAGTCTAAACCATCTTTTCGCGACCGCTCGGACAAACGTTTCCAGACATCCCCCGGACGTCGAAAAGGGACGGCGGCGACAGATGGTGACTCCGCTGGGGAAGCTAGAGAGTTGATCCCATTTAGTGACAGATAAATTCAAACTAAGCAAAGATTTGAAATTACGCCTTTACCCTTCTGTATGTTTTTATTGTATGGCTTTAAATAACTACTGTATGATTATTTCTGCAATTGTTTGAAATATAAATTGCACACAAAAACCCTTGCACACAACAGTCCCTCTATACCCGGGGGCAAGAGTGAATATCTATAGGGAGTGGGTGGCAGATACGATCGGTTAGTTGGCACAGGGGGCTACTACCGTTGTCGGAAAACCACCAACTCAAGGTGATAACTCTCTTCTTTTGGTCTAAGGGTGTCGCCACGGAGTTCCGTGCATGACCCGAGGATTGAGAGTTGAGAGGTCCCTATAATGGGGGCACCTTGGGGACCTTTGGCCTGGTGAGAACAGTTAGAACCACCCAAACAAAGCACATTTCTGCAGGAAAACCCTACCTCGTAATAGCATGGCTCTGCTCGTGGATGTATGAATTGTGTGTGCATTTGTTTGCTGCATTTGTATTGATGCATTAGCATAGGGTAATCATACAATGAACAAACAAATGGAAAAACCCTAAAAATCACAAAAGGCCTTTATCTCGGACAGTCTTCAGCTAAGTTAGCCTGGTTTCAGGTTCTTTGCAAGCTAAGTAGCCACGTTGACCGACATATGAGATAAAAGGTCACAAAAAATAAAAATATAAAAACAATTAAAGCAATAAAAATGCCTTTTACTTTAAAAAGATTCTTGGCAAAGTCGTATCATTCATACCATATCATCCAATAAGTGGTAAAACTAAGAGAGAAAATAAATGCACTAAGAAAAATATGCATCATTTTAATAAAACCCTAAAAAATGGGTCTTAGAGACGTTTTTTGGGAAAATTACTGGGCCAAATCGCCTTTGGCATTTGCAGCTTGGTTCGTCACCCTTTTCTCTTCGTTTTGACATGCTGTGCGTCCAAATCGGACAACCCAGTCAAAAGTTATGCCACTTTCAATATCTGTTGTCATAATAAAATCTCTCATACATAAACACATTCATCCTAGGGCATATTTATTCCACGCTAATCATTTAAAATAAAAAGTTATAATAAGAATCATTAAAATCATTTAGAAGGTGGCTGGTCTTCCGCCCGTCCTCACTCGTGCTCAAAAGGCTAAGAAAATGGAGCAACTAGAAGAACAAAACCGAAAGCTCACCGCTGAGCTTACTACGCTGAAAGAACAAATGGCTCAAATGTTAGAAATGATGCATCAACAGAATCTTCATCGAGAGGGTCCTCAGAATGGACAAGCCTCTCACCGGGAAGAAGAAGAGGAACCTCAAAATGAGCACGATCAATCGACACAAGAACAGTACATATTCATGCTCCTGAAATATCAAAACAACAAATCACTTGCTCTTGAAGAGAGGTGAGAGCCATGGAAGGTCATAACTTTGATATAAAAGAGGCGGCTGATATGTGCCTCATCAAAAATATCCAATTCCCTAACAAGTTCAAAACTCCGGACTTCCCGAAATACATGGGAACGACTTGCCCAAGAAGCCATCTTACAATGTACTTGTCGTAAGATGGCTGCACATGCTTGATAATGAAAAACTCCGATCCACTTGCTTTTAGGAGAGCACTGGCTGAATCGGCCTTAAAGCTGGTATATGCAACTAGAAGGAGGGCAAATACAAACACGGAGACATCGGCGAGATGCATTTCTTCGTCGTTATAAATACAATATTGATCGACCCCTGAAAGAAGCAGATCTAAAATTATTAAGCAAGAAAAATGACGAATCTTTCAAAGCATATGCCCAAAGATGGAGGGAATTGGCAGCACAAGTGGAACCTCCTCTATCCGACAAGGAAACTACATCCATGTTCATCAATTCTCTGACTGGTCCCTATTACGACAAAATGATAGGGAATACATCAACACTCTTTGCGGATGTAGTCATTATAGGAGAAAGAGTAGAACAAGGTTTGAAGAGTGGAAGAATTATACAACAAACTTCCTCCAATTCCTCTACTCAAACTTTTAAAAAGAATTTTGGAAAGAAGAAGGAAGGAGACGTGAATGCAATTAATATTACCACTCCTTCTGCCTCCTCCCAACAAACCAAACCACGCAGACAAGAGAGGAAATTCACTTCCATACCTACGGAAGTCTGTTTTTGAAATTATTGGACGCCAAGCTCCTCGTACGTGTCCCTCCCAAGAAAATGGAGCCACCATACCCGGAATGGTATAAATCTAATGAAAGCTGTGATTACCATTCAGGTTCTCTGGGACACTCCACTGAAAACTGTATGCCTTTAAAGCATAAAGTCCAAAATCTGATAGAGGCAG